AATAATACCAACGTTATCTCCACCTTTCTTATACGACTTTCAATCTTTCACTTTTTGAGAGGTATAAATGTAATAAAAGGGCAATGCGCTACAGTAATACGAGATGACAACGTTCGATCAAGTTTTTAGCTTGTCATTGTTTGTTCATTGTTTTTAAATGAATGCAACATTTTCAGAAGAAATAATATTTAATTGTTGTTAACAAGTAAAGTATAGTTGAAAAGTTTATAAATATTAACAATCACATATTTAGGAGTTTGTCTTAAAGAAAATGGTACATCTCTGGGTATGGCTAACACAAATCTGATGTGGCAGCAGGGTGGACCATACTTAAATTACACGGATGGTGACAAATGTAGCGATAATAAGTACCGTCAAACATTGATTGCATTTTTATGTGGACCCGAAGGATCGACTAATGATCCAATTATTATTGAAGAAAGTCCTTGTCAGTTGATCATTCATTGGAATCTTAATTTGATTTGCGAACATAAAGTAAGTAATTAATCACTAATTGTTTATATAATTATTATTATTATTTCAATTAATCAGATATTTGATTTTAGATTAAATGCGCTACCGTAGATAATGAAATTAATTTAACTCCTTTAATACGTTCGACTAGCAATTATATTGTGAAACTAAATAGTAGCGTATTTTATATAAATGTATGTCAATCTATAGTAAATAGTTCTGGTTTAGAATGTGAGCATGGTAGTGCCATTTGTAAAACTTCATTAAATGCTAATAATGAACTAGTCAAAGAAGTAAGTAGAAATGTTACACATTTTATGAAATAATATATATTATCCAAATGATATATCTCATTTCTGTTTGTTTATTGTAATATTTTATTTTAGAATTTAGGTTTTCCTAAGAATGCACCAGAAATGAATAAAGATCAAATAACATTACGTTACCTCGAAGGCTCCGCATGTCCAGAAAGAAGAGATACCAAAATTTCATCAGTTCTTTTATTTGTTTGCGATGGCAAAAATGAAGTAATTATAATTGACATTATCTAATGTTTTCTTCGATTATTTATTTATTTATTTATTTATTTATTTATTGATTATTTTATTTTCAGGGCTTACCAGAATTTAAAAATTATAATAATTGTACATATACTTTTGAATGGAAAACTAGTATTGCTTGTGGAGCTGTTATGGGCGACTGGATTCCACCATGTACGATAAAAGATCGATTTCTTTTAAATCAATTCGATCTTTCTTTATTGTATACAAAACAGCCAATGCATTATGTGAGTTTTCTTATAAAAATAAAGTAGAGTGAGTGTTGTTTGTAAGTAATGAATAATTCAAATAATAGGTTAAAGGCAAAGAGAAAACTTACGGCATAAATATATGCGGAAAACAGAAAAATTGCAATGGTTCTACGGTGTGCCAAGAATCTAACAATTATGGATCTTTATCAAACGTTATTTTTGATTATAATCGAAACTATATCAAACTTGAATATTTGAATGGCAGTAAATGTTCTAATAGTAAGTCGAGAACTAAAATTACATTTATCATATAACATATTATTATATATTTTTCTTATATTCATATGTTAATGATTGCAGGTTCTTATATGTCAGAAATCAAGTTTATATGTAACGAGTCCAGTGATATTGGCGAACCAAAGCTGTCATGGGTAAGTAAGATTGCTTCTTTCATTAGTTTGCTTTTCATTTTTATTTATATCATGAGATTCTATTTTTTTGTTGGCTTACTTAACTATTATAGTACGTCCGTACTATTATAATTATATTATTTGTTGATATCCAAGATGTGTAGTTTATATAGATATTCAATGAAAATGTATAAACTATATATACAAATGCTTAAATTATACGTTTCTAAAGAAATTTCGTTGAAATATACAGATAATAAATTGTATATAAAATGATAGAGTAGATACGATAGATAGTAGATGATTATTATATACATGAAAAAAATAATAGGGAATATAGTATTAACCCCCGCATTAAAGCGCAATATTGCATATTCAAAATAAAGAGTTATTTCAAAATTCTCATACTCTCTCTCAGAGTATTTGCGTTTAATTATAAGTAAGAAAATATGACAACTTTGAACACACTCTGTTCAGTATTTCTATAATATGTTTGTTAAAAAAAAATTAAGCTAATAATTAATAATATTACGATTACATCGTTTGGATTTCGATCGAATCCTTTCAGTCCTTCAGTAGATTTAATTTAAACTTAATTATGTTTCTTACAAATAATATCTATTATACATTTGTGAAAATTGCACAACATTGCAGATATTACTTATTTTGGAATTAAACGGTAGTCGAACCTTGCATTTTATTGATCAAGTTTATATGAATTGCTTCGCATTCTGGTATATTCAATTTAGTTACCTCATTGTCATTGCTGTTAACTTGAGAACATTTGTCAATCGAATCACATATGAACATTTTAAGCGAATCAGCAGGTGGAGTAGTGGCGATAGGTGTATCAGGCAGTCCATATGAATATATCAAGCCTTTCTTTTCTCCATTGATTTTGATACAAGGATGACAATGTTTTTCAAAGATTTTCTTTTTAACTAGGCTTTTGGTAAGTTTTGGCGGATGTGGTAATGCATATCTCAACTTATCCCAGAACCACGGGTCGCCCCATTTAACGTACGTGTTCATATTTAGATAAGCTTTGAATTCGGAATCCAAATTGTCCGTAGAGCCAATATCTCCGTATAAAATTAATATGACTCTGGCTCTACCTTCGCTCATAGATTGCCTATGAGCTGCACGAAATTCCATTGCACCCCAAATACTTTCCAAAAAGTTAGGCGATACTATAAAGATCGTTCTCTTGGAATTTTCCACCGAACGTGTTATTTGCGTTGGAATCCATTCACCAGCTAACCAATCGCGATAATGTAAACACAATTTGTATGGTCTCGGACCACTTTCTAATTTTGGTACTAATTCCTTTACAACAAAATCTTCGTCCTTATGAGAGTAACTTATAAATGCATCGTATATCTTTTCCTTGTCCAATTCGTCTTCCGTGACAAACCACAAACAACATTGATGAGCATATAACCAAACTTTAATCTCTTGTTGGTATCTGTAATAGAATGCTACTAATCCACCGATGAACAAGCACAATAATGCTATCGTTAAACTTATTCCAACTATCATCATCGTCTCGAACGGACAAAAGTCATTCATGCTCATTTCCAACATAGAAATATCCATGCTATTGCACGTGACTTTTCCTAAATCTGGAATGTCTATTAATTTTGATTGAACGAAGCTAAATAAGTCTCGAGCATCGCAATCGCATTTCCATGGGTTCTTATGCAATGTAAGTCTCTCTAATGTAATTGAATTTTTCCAATAGTCCAACAAATTTGAATCAATCCTCGATATATTGTTGTTGTGCAATTCTAATACCTATAAAGGAAAACAAAATTAAACTTTCAATTCAACAGAGAGAGAGAGAGAGAGATTTAGAAATATTTCATTAATTCAAAATCATACCTTGAGATTTTTGGGCAACTTGTCGAGCGTAATTCGAGTGATATTGTTGTCAGACAAAATTAAATCCGTCACGTATTCCGATCCTAAAAGTTCTGTCGACGGTATCTCGGTGAAATTATTTCCACTGATATTTAATTTAATATGATAACCATCGACAGGTTTTTTCTCGCTTATTCCCGTAGTGTCAATTAATAATTTAGACAAATGTTTATTAGAACAATCGATTAAACGAGCCTTGTCTTCTGGTTGTATTCGACAAGTACAACCAGTCGGACACTTGCTTTTAATTTGCAAGTATTCTGTCTCCGCACATTTCAAGGTCTTCGAATTTAGTTGACTAATTTCTATCTTATCCACTCCATTTGAATCCAAGCACGTTAAATTTCCCGGAATAATGTGAAAGTAATTTTGCATTTTTGGATGCATCCTACCTTCTAGATAACGTAAGAAATTGTACAAATTACAATCACAAATCAAGGGATTATGTTCAACGTAGATGATAACGTTCCGTGGAGACTCTTGATGAATTCGTATACTTTCGGCCAATAATATGTATTTTATTTTATTATTAGTCAAATTGACTTTAATATTGTCCGATACGAATTGCAAATCGTCCATCTAGAAAGAGAGAGAGAGAGAGATAAAAAGATGACAAAAGACGACCAAAGAGGAAGAAGAAAATATTGAAATGATTGTACAACAAATCAATAAGTTTCATCTTTTAATCTTATCATATTGATTAAGAAAACATTTTTAAATTTATAATTGATATTGAAAAATGATATTTACCGATATGACATTAATGTCGTTATAACTCAAGTCTAATATTTGTAAATTCATTGCATTTAACGACCAATCGTTAGATATCGTCGATATATAATTGTTCGATAAATATAATTCATTGAGTAAATGACATTTATGAAATGGCGATTGATAATCATCCTGTATTGCATATAAATTGAACGTAAGCTTGTTATGACAGAATTTGGCTATTCGTAAATTAATTAAGGAAGAAAAAGCCAATTGGTCGATGGTTCTTAATTGATTATTTTCCATATTCAATTCTGTCAGAGATTTCAAACCGTCGAACAGATATCTGAAAAAAAAAAAAAAAAGATAATTAAATCGCTAAATAAAGGAAGAATGAGGAAAAAAGCATATTAAATATTGAAAAATAACTTACTGAGATATAGAAACCATACGATTATTAGATAAATCGAGGGTAGTCAAATTGTTCATGTCGTAAAAGATTCGATCAGGAAGAGTTTCAATGCGGTTGAAATTCAATTCGACTTTTTCAACCTTGGTCAGTCCTTGAAAAATATTCTTTGGTAGAGTAGAGAAAAAGTTCTTTTCTAGACTGATGTTCTTCAACGAATGTGCACCCCAAAATAGATTTTCTGGTAAAATGTTCAAACCACTATTTTTCAACGAAACTACTTCGAGTTTTGTCAAATTAGCGAACAAATGATCCGGCAGAGTGGTTAAATTTCTATGATTATTGTACAATTTGACTATTCGTAAGATTTTGTTATGATTGAAAAGTCCTTCCGGTAGGTAAGAGAAATTATTAGAAGAAAGATTAATGATCTCTAGTTTATTCAATTGGCTAAAAACGTTCGGCGATAAGGTCATTAATTTATTGATGCTTAAATCCAAGGATCGTAGGGAAATCAACTTGTCGAATAATCCACTTTCTATTTCCGTCAATTGGTTATTCCAAATATTTAGAAAATGAAGTTTTTCTAATTTATCGAAAATCCCAGTTTTCATCGTCTTCATCCCATTGCTACCTAATTCGAGAATTTTGAGATTTGGAGTTGCATCAAAAATACCAATTGGTAATTGAAGATTATTTTCACGTAGATCAAGCCATTCCAATTCCGGGAAGTCCATCAACAAATCCTTTGGGACCTTTGAGAAGCCGTTACTGGATAAAATTAATTTTTTGGTCTTTGAAAAACCACGAACATGATCTCTCGTTAACTCGTCGCCAAGATTAGAGAAGGATTGAAAGATAAGCGTGTCGGCACTTTCCACTCCCATTTGTTTGGCCACGTCTCCTAAACTTATGTTCTTCGATAGACCGCATATTCGAAATCGCAGAGAATCTAATTGTTTTCCAGGTAGAGTGCTTGTAAAATGAAACTTTTCCCAACCTTTCCAATTCTGACAAGTTATCTGTTGATTAATCACAAGTTGTATTTATTTTATTACAATTTTATTCCAAAGTTCAATAAAAAAAAACAAAACAAAACAAACAAACAAACAAACATCATTCGTCCATACATACCTGTAGAAAATCTTCAGGATAAATGTTTAGAATGAATTTGGAATTATTTTCAGCTTGACAATAAATTTCTATTTCATTGGAGCCATTTGGTTGGCATGTACAATTTTGATCTTCTTTACATTCAAAAGCAAAAGCAAGAATATCGGCTGTTGAAAGCACAAACAACGATATTATTCCCCAGATTATGAAAATCATTGTTTCTTGGCAATAATTTTCAGATCCGCTAGAAGAGAAAGAACAACATTATCGTGAATAATAAGAAAGAAATGTTATTTACGGATTGTTTATGTTCTAGATTACAGTTAAAATCGGAAATAGCTTGTTTCGCAGCTTTGCAGATAAAAAAAAACAACGTTTCCTCTCTCACACGATAAGCCTATTCTCGTTGATTTTTTTCAAATTATTTCTTCACTTACATAATTAAAGATATATTCTACAAATATAATATACTTGTTTAGTGTTTTCTTTGTGCATCCATGCTTACTCGCACTCATCCAGAAGCTAGCACTAGACCATTTCAAAATACAATAACGTAACTCTCTGTAAAGTGTCCTGCATTATTTACTCTGTACAAAATATTAATTAATAATTTAAAAATTAATCCATAGCATCGTTGAAGTTAACATATTATGACGTTATTCCCTCTCTATCTCTCGTTTGATGATTTCATTTTTGTATGGAATGATACAGATACCGAAAGAAAAAGAAATATGTTAATGTGTTATGTGTTTGGGATAGGCATACTCTTGTAACATCATCATAACTACTTTAATCGAATTTCAAAACAAATCACGCACGTAATCACGCACAGTAATCACGCACGTATCCTTGCTCGTTTCGACGATTCATGCCGATAGATCCGGGTAATGACCTACTCCACGCACATAAATGCGCCGCAGTGCGTAAATGAGCATAAATGAAATTTTCCTATGGTCCTACGAGTTTTCTTTTCAACTACGCCGTTAATTTGTTATCTAAAGACAAGAGAAAGTATTGAACACGCAGTGTTATATTTATTATATACACATGATGATTCATACACGCGCATCCTTTGTACCACCCATTCTTATCATTCGTTTATAATTTTTACATTGGTTAATACAAATTCCAAATCGATTTAAACTCTACGTCTTCTCTCAATCATGAAGTAGGAGCAAAGAATTGGAAAGAGAACCAGTAAATTCGAGGTCATCTTCTATTCTTATTCGTCGAACATTCGTTCGATCTTACGAAGAATTCTGTTGGAACGATTATCGATTAGTTAAACGATAAAAAGATCTTCTATATTTCTTTTTTTATTACATTTTTTCCTCCTGTGAGTTGTAATAAATCAAAATAATGTCTCGAGTGCGTCGAGTGAATATCAAATCAATATTGTATTCATATCATTTTTTGAATAATTTTTCTATCTACAAGTGAAAAAAGAATATCTAGCGAAAGTGATTATTATTTACGTGACGATAATCAATCTTGATTGTTCCTTTTGATTGATCGATCACGAATACGTAAGTAAAATAAATACAATGATTATGACCGACAGATTAATGAATAAACTTCAAGTTGAAGGATATTTATGAAACAATACTTTTCTTCTTTCATAGGACAACAACCAAATTTTTGTGTACATTTTTGTGTACATTTCTGTGTACATTTTTATCCTAAAATTCATATCAACTTTTCTTTCAAACAAAATAACAACATCTATTTATGAGTGCGAGTTAAGCATACTCATTCATTTGGTTTGAATAATGATACTAATAATCGTCTTCAGAGAATTCTGTTTCTCCTTAATTATACCTCCTCGGTAGACTGCTGCAGTCGTCTAGTCAATTCTTGCGTCAAGGATACGCGTTCAAGCTTTTTACATACAAATCTTTGAAATATTTTTTTATCCTTATATAGAAATTATAACTAAATAAATATATTATTTTTCAGCTTCCTTGCGTAACCGTTTCAAGGTTTTATTTCTAGTAAATCAGAGAATCGGCAAGATCGGCATTATTAGCTTCGAGCGATGAATAGATTTGGGACGACGAGTATTTTTCAATATTAAACCTAAATATATGTACAACACAGTCGTCGTTACAAGTCAATTAAAATTGTCGCATCATGTATAATAGAATTAAAAAGAAATTAATTATAACGCAAGTTCAGGGTCTACCTTTGTTTCAAAACATAAACGAATGCCTTAACAACGGGATTATGTTACTCGATTATACAAAATATTGATTTTTTTCTATCTCCATGGTTGTAGGATTAGGTAGAAATATGGAATGAAATGAAGTACTTGTGTCGTCTAGGTCAACGATTAAGTTATTTAAGTTAGTTAAGACTTGAAAATTCCTATCTCTCTTTCTGCACGACGATATGCGAGATAGAAAGAGAGAAATCGATAAAAAATAGGAGGAACGACAAAAATGATAATAGATAAGGCCAATAATCTCCTTCGATATTTTTCCTGCACAAAAATAAATAAAAAAAAAAAGAAAAAACATAATCTTCTGGTATGAAGTCACTTCTCGCTTTGTAAACTTAATCAAATCTTGGCTCGAATCTAAATACTCGAAATACAATATTGTTGCTACGTTTCAATGTTTGTTGCTCGTATTTCTTCAAAATTATATAACAGGAACGGGACATGTTTCTATGTGAATTTCATTCAAATCTCTATAATATACTCTATCCAAAAATTGACATTTGGGGGCAAGCGGGAAAAGATTAATTTGTGATTTACGCTTGCTTGGATCGATCAATTCTAATCTAATTCTTTTCTGAGGAATACAAATATTATATGTTTCTTGGAAAGAGAAACTCGTCTGCGAGAGAGAGAGAGAGAGAGAGAGAAAGTAGACATATATATATATATATATATATGTGTAAGAGACTATAGAATGTAACTTGAAGATTATGCGTCAAGTTCTACCTTGAACAATATTGCAAGCGATTTCGTGATCGTGTCTCCTCTACAAAATTGGATGTCGCGCATAGACGCGCATAGACGCGCATAGACGCGCATAGACGCGCATAGACGCGGATAGACGCAATAGATCATTGATTAGAATACGGAGTAATTATTAATAGGCAAGAAAAGAATGAGAAAAATGGCTAATTGTAGAGACGAATTAGTACTTTTCAAAGGAAAAAAGAAAAGAACAAATCTATCATGAAATGTTGCAGCAACGTGTAATGGCATCAATAAAAACCGGTTTCCTTCATCCTCTCTTGATGACGCGAATCCGGAATCATGATTCTATTATACTACTTACTCACCAGAATCAATGTAGATGTTATTTTTCGGTCATATATCCTCAATGCTGTTTAAAATTTGAATCGTAAACAGTAGATCGCAGGCATCGCGTGCGCCACTTTGTACTTCCCTTGATACGATCTCCTCAACAAAGATAGTTACGTATTAATGAGTGATTCAAATCAATTGCTAAATCTCACAACACAAGAGATAATTAACACGAGACACTTGAGCGTAGGAGAAGAAAAATTAACACGCACTCCTCGTATACGTTTGACGTAGAGGAGACTGACGGACGGTATCACTGCTCACGGACTCCTAATGTACTCGTTTGCTTTCGATAGTGGGAAATCATGTGATCACCCTAACAAAGCACTCCATTGGTCAGAGCTCCCATGTGACTCGACGCTAAAAAGTATTCTTTCAATTTGAATGATCTATTATTTGCTATTTACCAATTATACTTATTTAAATCTATGTATAAATGAAATCAAATGTTAACAAGCAAAATTTCAAACAATAGACAAATATCTTGACAAAATTCTGATACCATATTTTTTACCATTACTTTTTCCATGACTTTTCGTCATTCTACAGATCATTCTACATGCCGCCTGTGGCTTTTTTATTGTTTTTTTTTTTTTTTTTTTTTTTTTTTTTTTTTATAAACGCACTTCCAGTATTTCCATTAATTTCTGGATTTTCCAAGTGGTCACTGAACATAATAAACATAAACCTTCTTACTAAACTAAAATCATCAATGGTGGCTTATTGGTATTAACTAACCAATATTTCATCGATTTAGAAAAATTATTTGTAAATACCGATTTGTCTAAGATTATTATCTATGAGACATGATTCGACGTGTTGGGAAAATTGACAAAGCTTTCACAACAACCTTGGTAATTTTCTACACATTTAGTTACGCATTACGAAAAGATGTTTTGAACAAACAAATATTTTTTTCTAAATATCTTTGTAAAACTCTGAGAGACTTTTGAACTTCTTATCAATCTGTGAAATGATGAAAGAAAGATAATTACATAATCACACACATATTAAATTATATATTATTCTTATTAAATGTATATCTTTTTTCTTTCTTTGTTTGTTTGTTTGTTTTTTTTTTTTTTTTTTTTTTTTTTAATAGGAATCCCAATGTAGGGCAGAATTTGAATGGAACACAAACGTAACTTGCATTCATCGAACCAACATGGAATCAAAACTTATTTCACCAGACAAACAAGAAACTATTCAGAGTACTTCTAGTCATGGCAAGTAACAATTATCATTATTCAAATGAAATTTCTAAAAAAAAGTTTTCAAATGTATTATTAATAAATAAATTTGTTCTATTTCCAGCCGGCCTAATCGCTGGTATCGTAATTACCGTATGTATGTTCCTCCTAGCTTTATTGTATTATCGCAATCCAAATAAGAGAGCCTGCTTGCATTCCTGTTTTCATTACTGCAATTCCAGAAGAGGAAGTGGACGCGTCCAATACTGCAGGGTGGGTAATATATATTTTCTATATGTTATATACATGTATATCATATTTAATATTTTCCCTTGAAACATATTCTCAACTTTATATCTATATGATTTTATTTGTAGGTAGGCACTACCGAACAGGCTCATCTTCTATTAGATCCTAATAACGATCCGACGCAATGTCAATCGGATAGCGATGATGATATTTTGGATGCATAGTTGTATTATTATTCAAATCATTTGATACATATGTTTTATTTCAAGAACAAAACAATGCGGCGGTGCTTAATATCTTCTTCAAATATTTTAATCGCATAAAATAATATTACACTGTTCTTATTGCACAGTGATGATCTCAAAATTATGAATAACTTATAAAGCAAATACGTGTTACCGATTATTATCGTGAAATAAGAATCACGCATGTAGATAACAAAAACTAATTGTGAACAAGAGTGAAATAGCAATAAATTGGATACAATTATTGTGTATAAATGTTAACTTGTACTATGAATAAATATTATTTACTCTAAAAAAACAAAAAAAAAACAAAAAAAAACAATAACATTTAATTTTTAATTACAAGGATACTTTACTCAAGGATACTTTAATTACACAATTGGAATTAATTTTCATGAAATATATTATCATGAATATAATGTATCATCACTGTAATTAGAAACAGTTAACATTTTGTTATAATACTATATATTTGGAAACATTGAGAGAATATATATAGAATTTTATCAATACATTTACATACAAATAGATATGATTATTGATTATCAATTAAAATAATATTAATTGTTATTCAGTTGTTGATTGATAAAGTCTAATGAAGTATACAGCAAATTAAATGCATTATTTATGTGTGAAAAGATATATAATAAAATAATATAAGAAATAAATAGAAAAATTATCCTATACCTGTACATTGAGCAAGTATAAGTTGTACATACACTTACTACATAAAGGAATAATTATTTGCATTTTTCAATCGTTAACGAGTTATACAGCAACAATTCTATATATATATATATATGCATATAGTTAATTGTTACTTTTAATTATCATAAATGTATTTATTGATATATATACGTATGGATTATATACGTATTTATATCTGTTGTAACAGGGATATAACTCCTTTCTTTTTTTACATTTTTCCATTATCATTTGTACATTTGTTATATATTGCAAGGAGAAAGACATTGCCTATAGTTGCATTAAATATTTCAATACTATTGCAAATTTGTACACACACACACACACAAAAAGATATATAGAAATTGAACAATTTTACAACAGCTTAAGAATAACAATTGTCAAAGCTAAATCAATTCTATAATAGGTACTTCTTTTTAAACAAAATCTTGTTAACTTGTATTATTTATTAATAAACTACTATTATTAATCTTATAATCTGCAATTAAATAATTATTTAAGTTTATTTTATCAGAGACTCTGTTTCCATTTTATCAATTACGAAATCGATCAATTTTGAAAGAACATTTCTGTTTTTCTATTAATTAAATATATGATAGTTCTTAGTCTTATTGTTAGTCAAAATAAAGAATAAGTAAGTAAAAGAATATTTATAAAATCGATCTATCTTATATATTTTATGAATGTAATTCGTTCGTCATTTTTTGATAGTTCTCATCAAGCAACAATAATTATAAGATAATATAGAAGCAACTATATGCACAAATCTAACAGTATTTGATTAAAAATGAATGTTACAACATTTATTTCTGCCGATGAATAATCACTGCAAGTTAAAAGGTCATCTGATAAACAGAGATATAAAAAAATACTTTCCGGAAGTACTTATAATGTTCTTATAAATGATTATTATCAAACTTTATCGATATTATTTATTACGTCACAAATCATATATTCTAGGAATGTAAAAATAAAATATATTATAGGAGACATAATAAAACATAAACGTTACTTCAAAACGTGATCGACTTTGGAAGCCAGAATCTGTATGACCGAGAGATGATGGCAGTCCTATAAAATGAAATTAACTTCAAATAAATATAAATATATCTACATCCTTTCGTTTAAATGGTATCAAAAATAGATAATACCATTTAAGATGGAAGATATTTGTTAACTTTTGCTAATGCATCATAATAACCATTTTACAAAGATATATTAAATTGTTAGCGTTACTGATCTTGTCAGTTTTGTCTCCTCCTCGTTGCAAAAAAATACCTACAAAGGAATAATATATAATAATAATAATTTATATAATATCAATTGTACATTACGTAAATCAGCAGTATGCATTTTTGATCAAATATAAAAAGCTACTATACAAACCTATGAATACTACACAGTTAGAATTCAGAATATATAGTTTCTTTGTTGTGTTATTGTTTTATTTTTATTCTAATCCACCTTCTTCTTCTAATTTCGAGAGGAATTTTGGTACTCTGTAGCTGGGCTCTACTTGACGAGCCATATCTATCAGGCCTAATAATTTCCTTATACCGATAAATATACTACAAGGAGAAAAGAAAAGTTGAAGTAATTTAACTAGCAGTATAATCTGTAAACAACAGAAATCAATAAGTAATGATTAATTAACGGCATTACCGTTTCCCTTGAAGTTTTCCATGTAAAGATGCCATTTCTTTCTTCGAGAATAAATCTACTTCTTCTAAGACATTCAAAAGATGTTCGGGTGTAGATAAATTAGGTACGTGAATGGTACTACTGAATGCTGACAATACTTCCATATCATCTAATACTTGTCTGCAATGACAAAAATAGATATAAAATTTATCCATATTAATGGATTCAATATTAATTAACAATTCTATAGAAATGATTTATTTTCTTTCGTATAAAACATTATTTATATACCTGCGACTTGAAGTGCAAAGAATCAATAATTTACGACCACGTGGTGGTTGCTTCTTTAACAAAACAAGAAGCGCTTGCAACGTTAAATTCGAATAACGTGGCCCGATGGGACCATAATCTAATAAACGTTCAATATTGTCAACCAAAATGCAACTGAGTTGCGAACGATATGCATCATCGAATACCTAAGACATTAGACATGAAAAATATTTTCGTTTGGTTTTATACGTAGTTTTATACGTGGGTCGTCGTTAAACTTAAATAATAAATAAAAGCAGAAACCATACCTTCCGTATTAATAGACATTTAGCTGATTCGGTAAATCCAACCATATCTTCTGGAGTGCAAACCTTAACAAATGGAAAGTCGGAATTTTTAGCAATTTGTGCTGCAAGAGCTGTTTTTCCACTGTTAGGAGGTCCTTCTAAGAGAACCGAGACAAGACCTGAACCTTCTGCAGCGCGTGCTTCTTGTATATAAAGCAAACCATCTGATAGAATTTCGGTAACCGGTCTTCCCCAATTAATAATGCCACGAATAAGTAAATGGTCAAGAGCTTCCGCGCTTGTACCAAATGCCTATAAAATTATTCATTACTTACAGTACTATTTTTGTACTTATTTCGTAATATAAATATAAGTAAAAATTAACTACTAACTGACCGGCTTAACGTCATTTTCAAGAGCGTGTAAAAAGTCACTTCTAGAAACCATAAGTTTTTCCATTGCAGCTGGATCTACTTCGACTTTACTAGAAGCTTTGATTAATCTGTTCATGGCTGTACTTTGTGCAGCTCTTACTAGACCTTCGAGTTCAGCACCACTGAAATTCTTCGTTTTTGTTGCTAATTCTTTTAAATCTACATCTGGTGATATTTTCTTGTAATCCTTCATTCTAGATGTATGAATGTTAAGAATTTGTAATCTTCCATTTTCATCAGGTAAACTGATTTCCATTTGTACCTTTAAATGTAATAGTTGTAAAAGTTTGAACGTAACGTTGCTTGACGTGAATGTTGCATCTATATTTTGCCTACCTCCAATCGACCAGGACGTAATAGAGCTTCGTCAATCATATCTCGTCTATTGGTCATACCAATAACAAGTATATTATTTAATTGTTCGACGCCATCAATTTTTGCAAGTAACTGATTGACAACCGTATCATGTACTCCTGTATTACCAGCTACGCTGCCTCTAGACTTACAAATAGCATCGATTTCGTCAAAAATGATAATGTGTAATCCGCTGTTTGGACCAAGCTGAAAATCATTTAATGTTATAATTATTATTCTCTACATAGGAAAGATATTAGGATAGGTAGTAAAGCAAACGTATAGTATAATACCCTCCTACCTACCCTCTTTTCTTCTTCTTCCGCATCGGCAAATAATCGTCTAACGTTAGCTTCGCTTTCTCCAACATATTTATCCAAAATTTGTGGACCATTAACAATTTTTGGCTCTCTTGCATTCAACATGTTACCTATTTGTCTTGCCATCAATGTTTTTCCTGTTCCTGGTGGGCCATAAAGTAAAATACCCTTAACGTGTTTGCAACCCAATTGAGTTACAATTTCTGGGGGGAAAACTCTTGATGCAAATGCTCTTCTAAAGATAGCACTGAATTCCTTATCTAAACCACCAATCCCCATCTTTTGGAAATCCCAATCTGGGTTAATAATTGACTGTCTAACTACTTTTCCCTTTGCTTTTCCAATCAGATTTATACTGGAATTTTCAGCCTTTTCAAACTGTATCATGGTATCACCCAAGCAACGACCCATTTCTGTTTTCTTAGGCGTTGGATTCTGTCCTGATTTAAGCGCAGAAAGGTCAGCAGCTTCTAAACTTTTAACTACAAGGCCAAGCATTTTTTTCTCTTTAAACTGAAATACCAGCTGCTGACCAACGGTGAATGCCTGTCCCGAGAAGCGTAAAAGAAAATCTTTGGCCATCTCATCTGTATTATATGGTTCCAATGATGTACTACAAAAACACACGAATATACATATATATGAAATACCATCTGTTGAATAAGAGGCAAATCATAATAATAATAATAATAATAATAATAATAATAATAATAATAATGATAAACAAAACGTACGACTTTTTTTGTAAAAAGTCAGCTTCCAAGGTGATATTGCATAAGCATTCTGAACTGGATGTCGGATCAAAGTAATAAGGTCGAACTTCGATCTCTTGTCCAAGAGATAGAGTAGCCCACTTGCGTTGAGGTAAGCTAAATCCGACTGCTCCATTAGGTACATCCTGATGACGTTTTACAGTAAAGACAAAATGATGATTCGGGTCGGTAATTACTTCAATGTGTCTAGAGATACATACGTTGGTTATAACGTTATAACGTGAAATTACATATTATAATTAAATGTGTATATAATTAGATTTAATCCAATCTTACTTGACATCTTCTGGAAAATCATCAGGATTAATGATAGCACAATTGGTGAGACTAAGCTCGTCAGTAGGACATCTCAATGCGTTCATGCGCTACAAAAATGATGTAAAAGACGTCAATAAATTAAAGTTAACGTTAAATTTAATATTTTGTGCATAGAGTAATTAATTACTTATGCACAGTATTGATGTAATGAGTGGCACCAAGAAGGTGACAGGTCACTCAATACTGTCTCCTTAATAAAAAATGAATATAAAAATGTCTTTTTCGATATTAATTACTGACAGACACATAAATAAATAGCACGACGAATTATTAGTATTATTAAATATTTGACAAATAAATAGGAAAATGAAGAATATTCTTACCATCGTGAATGACGTTATTTTTGACAGAAACGTGTAAGCTCAGGCCCCTACGTAGTATGAAACCTGCAATGCAGGCGAGTAGGACTACCGCTATTGTCTACACAAAAGTCCCTATTACTATCTACCTATCYATCTATCTATCTATCAAATGTATATTCTCTAAACGAATAATTATATAATCTAACGACTGTTGGTACGAATGGAATATCTCGATGGAATATGTTTTAATTATTATCATATAATATTATATATTTCCAACAGTTGTAAATATTCAAGTATAGGGATTATTTTGTTGAAATATTTCCTCTATTGTACGAGTTCTAGGACAAAATAAGAAAACAATCAATAGGTTCTGATCAGCTGACGACGAGTATTCGTTCTATGTTGAAAATCATTGATTTTCAAGTATAAATGCACTTAGGTAATATAAGTGCAGTCAGATTTATTGTAGCACTTTTAAGGATAAGGTTATTTTCTGTATATCGGCCTTCGTAATTCGTAAGAAGTAATTCGTAAATAAAAGAAAATAAAATTTATTGAAAAGCTTCTGGAGGTACATCATTGAGAGTATACATTTTTGTAAAATTAGTGATTGCCCGTCTTATATCCCAATTAACATTATCTAAAAATTTGAAACAAAATGCAGTGTTCATGGTTGTTAATTCTTGTAGAAGCACAATAAGCTGATGTTTCTCTGATGGACTAAATATAGTTGGAACAAAGACGGATACATTTTTAACATCTTGTTTGATTTTGTTTTTAATCTGCACTAAAGTATTGGAATTAAATCCGTCTATAAAATATTGATCGTTAGTTATACAATATTCGTTTTCCTCTTTAGCAACAATAGTAAATGTTCTATTGAATAAGAGAGGAGGAGAAGAAGAAATGTCTTTATATAAAAATATTCCTTGAACGGATATAACTAAAAGATCATCACTTTCGTATAATAAATCTATATTGAATGTATGAATGTAGTGCAATGTGGAAGGTTGACGCTTCAATGAGGATATTATTTTATCAGGACCACGTAATAAAAACTCATGACATTTGGCATAATCAACAAATTTGAGTAAATTTCTATTGGTAACTAATACTTTAGCTACTTGCTTATGCAAATAATTAGTAACGGATCCTAAAGTCATAGAATAAAGGGCATTTTTGTCGTAGAGACCATTCATTATGGATCTGTCTTCTTGATCGTACATAGTGAAAAAATGTTTAACAAATTGTTTTATTAATGGTAATTTCGAAGCATCCTTTAGATAATGAGTTTGTACATTTGGTAAAAGTTTTTTCTCCGTATCTATCATTATTCCGTCCAACTTTTGTAAATGATGAAACACATTTTTCACACCTTTTATATAATCTTGCGCGTTCTTATATTGAGTACACAAGGGATTTCCATCCAACCAAAGTTCCGTTATCTTAAATTCCGAAAAATATCTTAAATGTTCGACATCTAATATTTGATTAAATCTTAAATCTAGTTTAGTTAAATTGTAATAAAAAAACTTTTCGAATAATATAATGGCCGTTAAATTGTTATGTTTCATACTTAGCTCGCGAATGAATAATTTGGATTCACGATTAATGCCTGCAACACCTTGTTTGATAGATCTTAAAACAATGTGAAATATCTTAGGTATAGATAAAGGGCAAAATACATAAGCTAATAATTTATCGTTCTCAAAGTCGTCCAAATTAAGTATCTTTTTCGATGAATCGTATCTTTGATAGAACGTTTGCGATATTATTTTGTTAGGATTTATCGGTAATTCTTCTTTACTTATGAATCCTAATACAATGTCTAGATATATTTCAAAATTACCAGGTAATATTATGCACAACCGTTGTTTTATGAGATTCTTTATAGCATTGGAATTGCATTGGCCCAGAAAAGTACATTTATTGTCGTTTTCTTTTTTAAACTTGACAGGCAATAACATTTCTGGTTCGCAAGCATTTATAATTGCTTTTAATATCTCCGTTTTTCCATAAGATTTTCCATGACTAAATACAATAAACTTATGCCATACATCTTGATACGATGCTAATGGAAACTTGTCGGTATCCAAAGGTGGTTTCAAGTATGTCAATCGCAATGGTTCTTCTTTAATCACATCATTATTCTTCGACATAGTTGACATTTTAATATCATTTACTTTTCCAAATATCACAATTCCATAATCACAATTGAATTTTCAAACTTTGTCACTTGATATATAACATCTGTAAATCACATGTAAATTTGTTGGTTAATGTTTGTTTGTTGGTTAAGTTGAAGCAGCATCTAGTTTTTTGTTTACTTTGCGTTGATGCACCAATGAAAAAACAACGATTGGAATGCGACTTGGATAATCGATCTATCGATCGATCGATTCCTCTTTCGATCTTAACCCTCGATATTTGTACATCTTAACGCGAGAATGCGCTGTAATCGAATCTCTATATTTAATATTAGTAGAGTATTTCTTCTTCGTCATTAGTAAGGTGGGTGGTAAGGAATCTGATATGTGTGGGTAGTGATTAGCAGTAAAGCGTGATTAGAAGAAACATCTCTCGAGAAGAAGTATACGGCTGTCCAAAAAGGCTGTCAAAAAGGCTGTCAAAAAGGCTGTCAAAAAGGCTGTCACAAGGCTGTCAACACATCTTTTAACCTATTAACCTTTACGACGTTGCTAATTTCTTTAGGTAAGAAATTCTACACTCGCTACTTTTACATTTATCCATTTATTTTTTCCCATTATATCGAAAATAAATGTAACGTCGTTACGTATTGCGAAGCGAACTTTTATTGATTTTCTACTTTTATGTTACTTCAACCAACATTTACTCTGGTGCCATTTAAAGAGTCGTTGTTATTCGAATGTTTTAAGCAACATTATTTTAACAGCAGTAGCAGTCAACTTGGACGATATCAACTTGAACATTCCTAAGATTTTTCTTCTTCTTCTTCTTCTTCTTCTTCTTCTTCTTCTTCTTCTTCTTCTTCTTCTTCGAGATCTTACAAACGATTGCATTCCATTGAAGATACATCATTGGACTATTCTGCAAAATAATTCTTCCTAATATCCTACAAGTAAAATCAATATTTTTCACTTGCTTTTCACTTGCTTTTCACTTGCTTTTCAAACTGCTGTCATTGCACAATATTTCTTCTTTTTATTTCTCGTAATGCATAGGTTAGGAGTAATCTTCTATCGTATCCTGTTTCACATATTATCTCTACCATATTATCTTTCCTTTTACCTTTTAAAAAATATCTTGAAATATCTTTCAATTTCTTTTAATTTCATATTCAATTTTCATTAGAAATTAATCAAATTATAAACAGCAAATATTTCTTTGATGTTGGTTATCACGATATGCAGTAGTTAACGGAGTAAACTGATATATGATTTGTGTATAATAAAGATAAGAGAAGAATTTTTGCCATTTATGCGATATTATCTATATCGTATTAATCATTTCAATGAAATTCTCTCTTTCTCTCTCTCTCTCACGTAAGTAGTCGAAGAAGAACAAGGTGGTGAGCAACATTGCGCAACGTAAAATATTGCACAATAATATTGATCGGAGTCATTTAAGTCGATGAGGTCAAGTATACTAAATACATCCCTAAGTAGTACATTCTTTAATACTAAATCGCTAAAATTAGAAACTAATTAGGAGATATTTTATATTTTTTTGTATTTTCATTCGAACAACCGACGACGATTACTCTTGTTAGGAAATGTTTACATATGCATGCGCATGTACCGTAGTTTCAAAGTCGTACCAAATAAAAGCGACGCTGATTAATTGCAATGACGTAGCCAACGTCATTACGTGTCTAACAATGAGTGTCTTAAAATATTGATTTTCTCACATCCTTTTTTTTTCTAATTCTATTTGTTCTTCTTCAATGGCAAGTTGAATTAACACGAACGAACGAACGAACGCTGTTCTCTCGCGCATGCTAATGAAATCTTGATACATTACGCACCTTTCGCGATTCAGTTGCGATCATCGATCAATATTTTCTATACGTAGTTCCGCTAGATGCCAAGGTGATGACATTATCTTATTGTTAGTTTGAATGTTTTTCTTTTTCTAACGTTTGATATCAATCACAATTGAGAGATTCGTCGTCGTACCATGTATGACCTAGTTTTCCTTATCATATATTCATCTTTTGGACATTTGTTCGATTAGCCCTATTGGGTTTGGTCTCACATATGCGCCGATCGACCGTGATCTTGACTTGGTTAAAGATCGGGGGAGTAAACTTGGAAGCAAGCCAGATATCTCAAGGACAAGGACAAAAGCACACTCGACATTGATTGAGACCCTAAATCTATGCTACTAGTTCGATCATTTGCAGGTATGTTCCTGCTTATCACAGAAATGATTGAATCTAAATGAAAAATACAAATTCATTGTTAGCAGATAAGGGTTTAACGTAGTTCCTGAGAATGAGAATTTCCTCGTGGGGAGAGTAAATTCCTGACCTGTCCCAGCTGATCGTTGCGGGGTGGTGCGTACAGCATTGCCGTCGTGGGTGGTTCGCGCTTGCGCGGATTTCGGTTTGGTCCTTCGGTGGGTCGCTCGGCTCCTCGGGTATTGATTTCCCTAAAAGGTTAGGAGGCGGCTTAGATGTGTGTTGTCTACGGTGCCGTTAGCAGTACCCAGTTACCAAGTGTTGCGCCAACTTTCGCCATCCAACAACGCGCGTGGGGTGTCTTTTCTCTCGGTTATTTCGTTTACTTCATTGCTAACGATACATTCGATCTAAGTGATATTCAACTTTCTTATTTTCATTGATTTCTTTTCCCTTTTTGTGTTGCAGATTGTTGCATCGCTGGGACACAGTGTGTTGTAACACGTGAGAGATCCTAACTGATTTACATTTACTTTATCTTTCTTTATCTTTCTTTATCTTCCTTTATCTTCCTTCCTTCCTTCCTTCCGCTCTTCCGCCCTTCCCTCTTTCCATCCTTTCGTTCTTTTCGTATTTGGAAATACAGGTGAGGGAGAGATTCCTCGTTGTAGGAAAGAAGAAACTTCGATCCAGCACTTTGGGCACCTTCCGAGATGCCTGCACCAACGTCAGCGGCGGGTGCGGCCGAAAATGGCCCACCTCGCACCGAATTGCAAGAATTACAGCTAAAGGCCGACCAGACCACCGATGAGGTAAGCTTTTTATTTTTGTTAACATTTCTTACACGCACACACACACACACACACACACACACACACACATTTTACTCTGGTCTTCTTTGGTAATAGTTATAAAAAATCATTTCTTTTGTTTCAGTCCCTGGAGAGTACAAGGCGTATGCTGACGCTATGCGAAGAGGTGAGTTCGTCTCGTCGCTTTCCCCTAAAAAAAAATCTCTTTCGTATAAGGATAAAAATGAAAAGAAAAAAAGAAAAAAAAAAGTAAAGGAATTCCCCGTTCCAATATCGCATATTAACCCTTCATCCTCGATCATCCTCGATCATCTTCGATTACTATTTATTTACTAATCCTTCGTATCAGGAATCTCCATGTTTCCCGCCATATTTCATACGGGTCTGACTTATCGTTAGATTCTTTTACGGGTAAATCCCTCGGCAAAAACTACCTTTTGTCTATCATTTTGAATAAGCTAGGTCAAAATCTATAAACGAGTAGTCGCGAAAGAGAGGAACGTCCCCACACAAACTCCCTTTTTATTAAAATGATCAAATTAGGAGAATTTGAAAATACGTGCAGAGAGACGAGAAGACTTTCATAACTTTTTTCTTATCGCTTGGAGAGGCAAAATACGAAAAATAAAAATAAAGAACAAATTTGAAAAAAAAAGGACACTATTTGATCTTCGTTAAATATTAGCGAGAATTAAATTCTCTAGAAATGAAGGAGGAATGAAGGAAGGCTAGAAAAATGAGGAAAATGGAAAAACAACGACGTGAAATAAATAAATAAAATACAATGATTGAAAGAAGAAGAAGTAGAAGAAGAAGAAGTAGAAGAAGAAGAAGAAGAAGAAGCGGAAGAGAAAGAAGAAGAAAATTGTGCAGCGAAGAATAGGAGGAATACAAAGTTGACCAACATGGAAGAAAATTAGTTGTACGAAAGAGAAGGAAGACGCGTGGAAAAAGTTTGGAAAAAGTTTAGAAAAAGTTTAGAAAACGTGCATTAAAACATCCTAACAAAAGGCGATAACATACTTTATCTCAATTCTCCAAAAGCTTCGATCCGCCGCCTATCTTCTCCTCTATATTCACACATATATATATATAAATGCATATGCTTATATGTGTGCATATATCACGTATACACGTATTCTCTTTGAAATTCCTATTCTTCCTATCTCTATTTCTTCCTATCTATTTTTCTTTTTTCCTTCTATCTATCTCTCTTGCTCTTGAAATTCTAACTTTATTTGTATCGGAAAGTGGCAGCACTGCAGGAGCATTAAAGGCTTTACTTTTACTACTTCGGAAGCCTTGGCAAGATTTACGATTCGAAGGAAAGGACCTAGTAAAAAAAAAAAGAACAAAATAAAATGATCTTCGTTTCGGGATTTCATCAATATATTTACTTTTTTTTTATCCCGTTTATTTATTATTTCCTCTTATTTTTCTTATTTTTTGATTCTTGCATCGAGCCGAATGATTGACGCTATCAAATCGTATAACGGGACTGCGATTCGATAAAATAAATACTTAGAAACTTAGTAATGTTGCACATTGTTTTCAATGCAACAAGCAACAAGCAACTTGATGGTGGACAACAATAGCGCGTTTATCAATAAAGTTAAAGCTCATTACAAACATTCAAATAGCAGCATTGTGTGAGACATGTCACGAGACGTGACGACGAGAATTATGTATAGATGTCGTCGATCGATTTGTTGCGTGCGTGACCCCTTTTATTTTCCTTTTATTTTCATTTTATTTTCCTTTTGCGCGGCGAGAAGAGAATATTTTTTAACCCTTTATAAATTGACTTTAGGAATCATTTTTTGGAATCACATTTGATTGGTTACCAACAAGAAAAAGTAATATTCATTTATTACTTATACTGTATTGTTATATATTCTGTCTTTTTATAGCAGCCAAACAAAACTTGGATTATAGAGGGTTAAAAGAAAATGCAGTTTGATTTTCCTATTGTGTTTTGTTCGTAAGTTTTGTCTCGGTGATTGACGCGCGACACAATAATTCCGTTTCAAAGCTTTTTAAAAAGAAATCAATGTATGGACGTTGAGATGAAAGAAGCGAGACGAAGGATTTCCCTCGATGAATATATATATATATATATATATAATGTATGTGTCGTCGTCTGTGCATTTTTCTATGTTTACATGTATATATGTATACGCATAAGGGAATTGTGTTTTTCTCTTTCCTTCAATATTTCGTTAATTTTCTATTCTTATTTTCCAATTAATCGATTTATTTCTATATCGTGTATCGTTTTCTCTGCATATTGTACGTATGATCGTTTATGTTATTATACGTTTGGTTTTGTTTCTACATAAGAAGAGTGTGTTCACATGTAAATGTGTTTTATATCATTGTTTGTGCATCTTGTTTATTATTCGCGTGTCTCTTTTTTGATGTTTCTATATCTGTCTCTCTCTCTCTCTCTCTCTCTCTATTTCTCTCTACTGTCCCTTTATATGTATGAATGTAAAAATGATTTATTTTTTCGCTAGATCTCGTAAGTTTTTACGAATGGGCCTTATTCACGTACGTAACTTGATAGAATTTTTTCGCTCGACAAAATGAAATTATACGAGAGGATATCGTAATTCGATATTTTTCTTCTTGAAAACGTTGAGTTTCTTCTTCTTCTTCTTCATCTTGTTCTTTTATTAACAACCCAACCGTGTTCTAATCTCTTTTCGAGTCTGCGCGACTTGTCTCTCGTGCTTCTTCGTATCGATCATTGGCGATTCGAGTATCTCGACTTGGAGTTTAAATAGACGAGATCAAAGCCATTGTCATTTGTTTATAAAATCATTTGTCACTATTTACAATAATTTCGATTAATATGTTTGAAAATAGTGTAGTAAGTTTTGGATCAGAGTTAAACATTCGACACAACTCGGCGGCTTTAAATCATTTCTCTTATCTCAATTGGGTCGTCGGGACAAACTGTCTAAACGAAAATGCTTTTATACAGCGAACGATTTGAAATCCTATTGAAAATGTAGATTTAGATTTGTTTGTAGGTCACGTAGTGCTCGAAAAAGAAATAGCTTCGATTTTCATTTCCTTACAGTTATACTTTTTTCTTGTCTCCTATGTCAATCCATTTTCTTTAGAGATTTATCAAATCCTAGTTCTTCTCTCCGATCGATTTCAAAGAGTATTACATATTTTCATGTATGTATTTATACACATGAATACGATGTATTATTACTTGTTCGCTAACCCTTTTCGTCATAATTCATACAATTGAACAAATACAAATGAACAATTAATGAAGAATTTTTCAAGATATCGAATGTACTCTCATATTTCAAGCTAGAGTCAATAAAATGTACTAAACATTAACCGATATCGATATCGTTCGATTGAAAATACTTTCAAGATTACTAATAAACAGAACAGAACAGAACAGGATGTGTTTTTTACGATCCGTCGATCGACACGTCGACGAACTCGTCGTTGAACTCGTCGTCGTTTCAGAGCCTACCTGCCTGCCTACCTGCCTGACTCTCTAGGCAACAGAGACGACCTATATCCAGATGAACTTTCCTAAATAAACTGGAGAGAGAACATGAAGCACGAGGGAGACACGAAATATGAACAAAGAATGGAACGTATGAATGGAAAATAAGAAAATCTAATGAAAAGAATAGATAAAACTGAAAAGAAAGTACAAAAGGACGAATAATAAATTAGAAAATGGAAAGTTCGCGGATACGATATACAAGGAACGTATGTATGTGCGTGCGTGTATGTGTGTGTGCGTGCGTGTATGTGTGTGTGCGTGTGCGTGTGTGTGTGTGTGTCTTTTGAGAAAGAAAAAGAACGCGCCCGCCATTCGCTTACGAAAATTTACTTTAGTTTTTTAATTCGATATATCACACAAATTCGCATCGACTTTGTATCTCGCGTTGAAACGTGAAAGAAATGAAATATTTATCAAGAAAAAAATATTATCTAATACAAATATGAAATGAAAGAAATGAAAGAAATTAAAGAAAAAATGATAAACCGAAGCGTCAAATCCACGTTAACCTAAATCTATATTAATGTGGTGGCTGTCCGTTGCAGAATGCGTAAATATCTACATGTACATCTATATATCTGTATTTATATGCGTGTTATTTACGCATACATTGTGTGGCCGCGTGTGTTCGCTTGTCTGACCGGCAAATAACTATAATAAATGCCTGCTTATGCCCGATAGCGCCCGATAGCGCCCGATAGCGCCCGCCTTCTTGCCTTCTTGCCTTGGAAAAGTATTAATTAAAAGATAAAACAAACATTCACATTATTTTACTACAATTCTTCATTATATTTGCTATTAATTGAAAATGTTTTATCTATTATTGTTGTTTTATCTATTAACTTGACTTCTGCCTGTCTGTCTGTCTGTTTGTCTTTGCTGCCTGGCTGCCTGATCGTGAGTGTTTGCCTATCCTCCCACCTCCCCATCCACTATTCTTCTTCCTTGTTACATCGTTCTCTTGCCATTGTTCTATTATAGCGAACGTCTTTTTCCAAATTCCATTTTCTATTACCATGGGATCTGGAATGATCACATTCGTTGAAAAATCGTCCGAAATAAAAAGATAGAAAAGGATCGAAAAGGATCGAAAAAGATCGAAAAAGATCGAAAAAGATCGAAAAAGGGAACTCGACAAATTGAATTTCGTCAAGTGTTGGTGATATCTTCGAACGTCGCACGTCGAAGGACACATTCAATTTATTTCGGACCTTTTTTCATCTCACGTTTCATAAACAATCACTCTTACACTATCACGTTCACACAGATTGAAAGGTAAACGAAACGAGAAATCCATGTTGAGGGATTTGTCGGATCGTTGCAGACGATCGCAGAACGCGGGGGACGGGGGACGGGGGTGCTTTTTATTATTTGGAAATAATCTGTGTAGAATTGAATTAATGGATCGTCTCACTTAGGTCTGTTTTTTTTCTTTTTTGTTGGTCTTCTTGATTTTATCTACTCCGCGTATAAGAAAATGTCCTTCTTTTTATTTATTATTATAATGAAAATCTTGACATATTAGTAGGTATCGTAATTCAAGTCATGCATTGAATGTATTCAATATCCCCATCGTACCCTTGAACCCTGTTAATATGGAAGGGCTGTTTCAACAGGGGATTTGC